CCCTTGTGAGTATAAGGCGGATCAGAAAATGGATGGATATTAAAAACTATCCAGCGCATACACATGGAATTACTTTTATTGTCTTAAGGTGTCCTCTAGTGGTCATATGAGGAGCTGCAACACGCTCTCTGTATTGCTGGTAGCATGGTAACTTTGTGGTTATATAGTACATCAGCACATATGATTTCTCCGCTTACTCCGGCTTCCTTCCACATCGCAAAGCATGCATGTTAGGATCAGTGAAATGTTTCAATTGTCTGGAAGTGGGAAAGTGAATGAATGTGAATGGAAAGTGCAGATAAAGTCTACACACCAATGTTTTGACTTTTGGTTCATTTGATATAAAAATGAGGCCAAAATAAGTCATTTCAGAACCTTTCACACCAAAATGTGACCTATAACCCGTGTGACATAATGTAGTTGCAGAAATGTGCACACACTGTTATAACGGGGGATGCGGCTGTGTTCAGAGTTAAAAAATGGCACTCAAACTCATGCCCATTTTAAGTGCCTCTGCTTATACCCGAATCAAGTTTCGATGTTCCAGTCAGCCTTTCTAGATTCAAACATGATTTTTGTTTTCTTTTTATGGTGCGTTGTATTTTAAGAGCATAGAATACAAGCAATACGGATCTCACGGGTATAAACCTTTGTACCCCTCCCCACGGTAGCTTGCAGCTGGAACGGAAAGGAGTGCACACTGGGTGTGCACATTGACGATGGCTTCACGCTATTCACCGAAGAGCTGGGCGTCCGCAAGAGCGTGTTGCTGCAGCATCCCTTTGAGCGTCTGAGGATGTCGTCAGACGACGGCGTCCGCATGATGTTTCTTGACTTTGGAGGGCCAGAGGCCGAAATCGTGAGTCAAGCACACTAATCTAATTCTTCTTAAAAGTCCCTTAAATGATCCTTATAGATGCCACGTCTGCCCTGTTTCTATTTTGACACATGATCATATGACTCATGGAAATAAGATATTTTCTCAAGGGTATAGGCAGATGTTAATTGCCGTGCGGCCTTTTTTTTTCTCATGCACCAGAGGATTCATTGATGTACGTATTGTGTTTTTGAAGAAACACTGTACACGACCGATTTAGGGAAACTACGACAAAACATTATTAGGAAAAACTAATTTCTCTCTTTTTTTTTTTTTTTTTTTGTCCTCAGCAACTGGACCTTCATTCTTGCCCCAAGACGATTGTGTTCATCATCCACTCGTTTCTCTCTGCTAAGGTCAAGCGACTCGGCCTCCTGGCATGATGACGTCCACAACATGTGCATTAGGAATATTTGACAAATTCACAAACACAACAACTCAGACTGACTTTTGAGCTGCAAGCGATGACTAAACCTCTTCTCCTCTCTTCCGGCTCATCCTGGTCTCTCATGGAGAGCCGGCGGACATTTGGACGTTGAGGTTTTTCCACAAATGCAGACCTCATGATTCATGCATTGATTTTGCAGCAGCCTTTCACATTTTTTTTTTCCTTCCAATTTTGGTCAGCATCCCTTCAGCTTTTATTGATTCATTGTTCAGTATGTATGCGTCATGAATGTCTTGATGGTTGATGTTGGACAAATCTCTATTTAATTAAAAGAAGACAGCTTTAGCGGAATGGCGGCAGACTGATCACTGCGTGATCAAAAATGGATGTAAGGATTCATTAAGTGAGGAACTTGCGGATGTTTAAGTTGCCTTCTCACACAACGATTTTTATGATATACCCCTCCCCCCAATTTTATGATATTACTAAATAAGAATTTAATATAACAAAAAATGTTATTTTTATTCCACTTGGTTTAGCTTAGCTGCAGATTTTGATTAAAACCATGAAGGCTACTAACAAAGAAGGCCTCATAAATAAATGGACTTCAACTACAGAGGGGTACACACATACTGATAATCGGATTGAACTTGAGACATTTTCCCAACCATTCTAAGCAAAATTAGCACTATTTTATTGGTTGTCGCTGATAGATTATCCTGGGTGATTGTGCTACGGTATAGGTCCTGAAGACATCCTATATTATAGGATGTCTTCAGGGTGATTTTTCCTTACTGATTTGCTTGTAATTCAGGGCCGACAATCGTAAATGTTAAACCTGTTCAATATTAACCATGAAAAATCACCATTGTATGGTCAACATTGAGTTGGGCCAAGCTCCAATTTTTCGGCAGTTTGGCTGCCCTGTGGCACCACGCTGCCCCTCACGGGTTAATCTTGACAGGCATCTGATTTTGGGAAGCAAGTCATGATTGTCGCTGGGGATATCATTACATGTACTGTAAGAGCTCAATTGTAGACTTTTTTTTCCCCTTGTCAAGTAAGAAAAGTCCTCGTAAAAATCGGTATATGTGTAACCTGCTCAAAGGGCATTTCTGATCCGCATTCGTGAACTCTTTAATTCAGCTACATATGCTTTCATTTACAGTATTTAAGCAGTCGATTTCACCAATGGCCTTCATCACAAAGTACTTTTTGTATTCGCACAGACCATGAAATATGTCATGTTAAAATCTTGTCTTTTTGCAACACTAAAATTCAACTTGTATTCGTCATTTTTGTTTCAATGCTCTCCAAAATAAAATGTGTATTCTTATTTAAGCAAGCAAAAGTGTGCCTTTTAAGGGTTGTTTGTACATAAACATGTAATAAACTTTGGTAACTTTTAACATACTTTGCCTTACTGTTTCTTCTATTGGATTCACAAGTATCATAGTTCTGAGGTTTTGGATGAAAATCTCTGCTTAACTGAAAAGATTAAATTTTCCGTAGATGTGAATGTGAGGTGAGCTGCTGTTTTTGACCTGAAATTGACTGGAGCTTTCATGAGAATGGGAATCCCAAAATATATCTGTTTTGAAAATATGGTGCACTTTGATTGTGAAATTAAGGACAGTCTAAAACACTTATTATAAAAAAGCTAAACGTGACTTAGTGTCAGAAAACCACAACCGATCACTATCAAATTCATATGCGCATCTATGGCCACTTCAACTTCTTAAAATATCAAAACAATCACCATGGTAATTTGGGTTATATGGGCATCAAGCTTTTTCCTCCTGATGGACATTCACTGTAGAGAAAAAGCTTAATGTCTCTTATTAATTTAAAAGAAAAAAAAAACAAACAAACTACAACCAATTGCCAGCAAGATTCATGTGTACATCCCCATCCATTCCCACATCAAGGTTTGAAAATATCAAAAGATATTTGAGATTGTGATGGACATTACCGTTCTTCTCTCCGTAGGCGTGCGATCAATCTTAATGTCGTGTAATGAGAAAAAAAAAAACTTCACGTATGGGCATTAAGAAAAAAGTCAGCTGGTTCTGATCCTTTTTTTTTCACCTCACCAAAATGATATAATGTTGACGTTCATCCGTCATTACTGGAGGAATATGGCACTAGAGAACAAGTACTATTCTTTATTTTTGGCGGGAGATTGGAACGGATTAGTGGTATTTCCATTCATTTCAATGGGGAAAAATAATTTGAAATACATTTCCCATGTCAAGTCTCCCACTTTTTTCACTGATGACATTTTGCCAGCCTGAGTTTACCTAAAGTTGAGACTTGTGACGATCAAAACTTATTAGTAGCGGTAAGTTGAGCACCTCGAAGTGATCCTGTGGTCTGACAAAAAAAAAAAAAAAAAAAAAAAAAAAAGACTCTTTTTTTTTTTTTTTTTTTTTTTTTTGCTTTTTATTAGTAGCGGTAAGTTGAGCACCTCGAAGTGATCCTGTGGTCTGAAAAAAAAAAAAAAAAAAAAAAAAATGCTCCTCTCATGCAACAGTGTTTAGCTTTAATGCCACATCTCAACATCGCAAACAAGCAAAACAAAAGCGGGTCGTGCGGCCTTTATTCAACAGGGGGGCGTTTATGACATCCACACAGATGCGTACGATGATGATGGTAGGCTGCGTTAAGTCAGCAGGGTGTGTGATGGAGGCAATTAGGCTTGCTGCTCACCAACTGTTTTCCCTCTTACATGCTTTTACTGCAACAAGGATGTGTTATCAGCATGGAACAGATGCTGTGTGTGTGCGTGCGTGTGTCTGTAGCAGCATAATGCGAGCTGCACGTATATCAAAACCATCACATTTGATCACATCTCCCTCCTCCTTTCTGCTCGCCCCCCCCTCTTGTTGCGGAGTTGCCTTGGCAACGGCAGGGGTGCTCTCACATTGGCTTCTGCTGAACTCTGGTGAAATTGGCAATCAGCCTGTCAGATCTGCTGAAGTGGGGTGGGGGCTGAATATATTTTGATGAACAAGGAGCTGTGGAGACAATGTTGCGATGGAGAGGAATGTGGAACAAGGTGAAGGGGAAAAAAACGGAATTCCCCAGTTTGGATGAAGGCAACAAAGCAAACATGATATGAATTAACAGCGCAGACTTTTAATATGTTAAAACGTTAAGACGTTGATAAAAAACAAAAGAGAAGATAAATCATTTCGAAACACGAAAAAGGTTTAAGGAATATGCCTCCCTAACATTTCATTAGTTATTGTCGAAAAAACAAAACAACAAAAAAAAAAGTGATTGTTTAGCAAATAGGCGGCACGGTGATTGACTGGTTAGCACGTCCGCATCACAGTGCAGAGGTGCAGGGTTCGATTCCGGCTGCGGCCTTCCTGTGTGGAGTTTGCATGTTCTCCGCGGGCCTGCGTGGGTTATCACCGGGTTCCTCCCACATTCCAAAAATATGCGTGGCAGGTTAATGGAACGCTCTAAATTGTATCTCCGTGTGAGTGTGAGCGCAAATGGTTGTTTGTCTCTGTGTGCCCTGCGGTTGGCTCGCAACCAGTTCAGGGTGTCCCCCGCCAACTGCCCGAAGACAGCTGGGATAGACTCCAGCACCCCCCGCGATCCTCGTGAGGATAAAGCGCATCAGAAAATGGATGGATGTTTAGCAGATGAAAAAAAAAATGCATCTGAGAGGGTTTCATTTGGATGTTTTTATTATATTTATTTATTGGATAAAAAAATTGATATACAAAATATGTGATTTTATTTGGTCGATAACAATCAAGAGACTTTTGTAAATGCAGCATCTAATATCATAGACAGAGAGAGAGAGAGAGAGAGAGAGAGGGAATTGAGAGATGTTTCCACTGGCTTATAGTGAGCCATAGTATCCATTTTGTTTCAAATATGCTTAAAAAAAGATGGCAATTAGTGTTAATGGCTGTCCACTGAAGAGAATGAAGAATGTATTGTACTTTTTAATGCAAATAAGATCCATTGCCATAAGTAACTTAAATTTCTCTGTAATTGTGAATCCCCAAAGAACAGCCAACGAATGAATAAATAAAGACATACATGCGATCCATAACAACACGTGAAATGATACATAAAAGAAGAGGCCCTAAGGGAGCAGGCCTACATTTGTGTGGTACATGTGATTTCGCTTCTTTAGACGACTGCCAAATGCATGCGGGCTGAGGACAAAAGCTTTGGGACACCTACAGGAAGTGACAACAATGGAAGAAAATGCAGCAAGAACCTACTGTCTCACAGGAAGACTTCTAACAAGATGCCAAAGTGTGTCTCAGTAAGCGGTAAGAAAGAAATTTATAAAAATTTACCATTATTTCAGAGTAGGGGTATCAAACTCATTTTTGTCATCTGCATACTTTTTGTTGTTTCGTTTCTCTGTCCACTCCCCCCACACCCTCCCACATTCTTAAAACATGACATTCAGTTCATTTAAGACTTTCAATTGTCCTTAAACGTGAATGGTTGTTTTACTTTTTGTGCCCTCTGATTGGATGGTGACCAGTCCAGGGTGGACCCAGCACCTTGACTCAAGTGTCAGCTGGGATTGGTGCCAAGGTCTCATAAATCGGTAGATTAAAAATAAATAAATAAATAAATAAATATTGATCTCTCTCTCTCTATATATATATATATATATGTCTATATCATAAGATGAATTAAGATAGGAAAACCTTTATTAGTCTCACAATGGAGAAATTCCCACAGCAGCAAAGTTATGAAAGGAAGAAGTAGAAGAACAAAAGAGCTGCTGTAAAGGCAGCCACTCTCGCGGCGCCAGCGTTGAAGTCAAAATAACAAAATAATACAACACAACACATAAGACACAGACAGTCGTGCAATCTTAACCACTTTTCTGCATCCTCTTTGTTGTATGAAGCAGTTATATATAGATACATATTTTAATTGTTATTAATATTGCACTCATGTATTTTTTTAATTAACATATTCTTTTTAAGAATATTTTTCTTTTCATTTGTATTCATGTATTTTGGTTAATTTTTCATTTATAGATCAAGTTGAGTATTTTAATCCTCTGACCCTCAGGTGGCACTCATGTGCCGCGTGAGAGGCATGTCAGTGGTTGGTTCGAGTCAGTAGGGGTCTCTGTGTCTCCATTGAGAGGAAGCACAAAGAAAGACATGACTATTCCCTTCAAGTGGAAGTGCAGCGAGGATTGGGGAGGGGTGGAGAGATCTAACATTTAAGATTTGATTGGAGCTGACCTAATTCCGAACAGGACATTCTACAATATCCAATATTTCTCCTTTCCCTCCCCCCCTTTCCTTTCTTTTCCTTCTTGAACACAAAAGGACTAGAGCGAATAAAGAGGCCGAGAGATTAATACCAAAGCATGAGATGAGCAATTCATATTCCAATTCAAAGAGCATGTTATCTATTTTTTTCCCCCCGCACACACCCTCGTTCTAGCATGGTGACTTTTTTCCCCCCTTCTTCAAAGCAGGATT